AAAAAAAAAAAAAAAAAAACCAGTAAAAATATGGATAATCTAAATACCATCAAAGAATTTGACTTAACAGACCACTGATCCCAACAAAATATATGCTGTCTTCAAGTGCACATGAAATATTTACCAAGACATGCCATACTCCAGACTATAACAAATACTAGAACATTTAAAAGAATAGAAACCATAAAATGTGCGTTCATGGATCATAAAGGAATTAAATAAACAAACAAAAAAATAGCAAAAACATACCTGGAAAACCGCTGTTTGGAAATTAAGCAACACATTTCGAATGAAACCATGGGTTACAGAGGGTTCAATGGAAATTTAAAACATTTTAAACTAAGAAAAAAAAATACAGCATATCAAAATGTATGAGATGCGGCTAAACTATTGCTTAGAGATAAATGATTAGCATTAAATGCTTTTATTAGAAAAAGTCTAAACCAGTAATTTAAGTTTCCACATTAAGAAACCAGAAAAAAACACAAATCAAGAAGATGGAGAGAATGTGGAGTAGAGCAAAAATCAATGTGAGTAAAAAACAAACGCAATATAGAAAAATCGATTAAATAATACAAAATCTGTTCTGAAGTAGAGAAATGTCGGTAAAAATTTAAAAAGGGAATTAATTAGGAAGAAGCAAAGAGTGGAAAACCTAAAGGGCAAAAGATGTACAAAAATGTAATGATGATGCCACCTAACAGTGGTGTGTCCTTTTTTTGTTTTGTTTTGTTTTTGAGAAGGAGTTCTGCTCTTGTTGCCCAGGCCTGAGTGCAATGACCGGATCTCAACTCACTGCAACCTCCACCTCCGGGTTCAATAGATTCTCTTGCCTCAGCCTCCTGAGTAGCTGGGATGCGTCATCACACCCAGCTAATTTTGTATTTTTAGTAGAGATGGGGTTTCTCCATGTTGGTCAGGCTGGTCTCGAACTCCTGACCTCAGGTGATCTGCCTGCCTTGGCCTCCCAAAGTGCTGAGATTACAGGATAAGCCACCATGCCCAGCCCAATGATGTGTTCTGAATCACCTCATTTAATTCTTTTTGAGCTCCAGTTTCCTCATTTGTAAAAAGAGGGTGAAAAAACATCTTTCAAAAGGTAAATATACAGATTAATGAGATATTTATTAAAAAAATTTGGAAAATAATGAAGAATCTTAGTTCTAAGCAGTAAGATTTACAGACTAATTTTTATATAAGGCATGAAATGTCATACAAAATTTAAATATTAGTATTCAAAATTGTTTTGGTGGCAGTAATGGAGCTCAGCTAGGAAAAGTAATTAGAAACTAACAGTGTGGCTCCTTGGTGAGTTTTCCCTTCAAAGAAAAAGTAGGCAATATAAATGAGAAACTTCTCATAAAACAAATACAATGCATTGCAGATATACCTTTTTGCAGATTTCTTCAAAGTTGATATCATCACCAAGAGCAGATTTAGTTACTATATCAGGTTTCAATTCCTGTGAAAGAATAAAACAAATTAATTTTAGTTGTCTATTTTTAAATTACCACTAAGTTCCTTCCCATATCTTAAGAAACTTAATATTAAATAACATCTTAATTTTGAGAAAAGAACTAACTCCACCATAGTAAGATATTATCATGCTACTAAAATAGCTACAGCAAAATGATTTTAAGAGCTAATCTTCCTAAGAACAACATACGAGGCAAGTAAGAAGCAATATTCTCATGAAACTCAATATAAACAACTATAACCTCAGGATTTTATACCCATTCAAGCAGTTCTTCAAATATCTAACGTATAGAAAAACAGTTTTGAACTGCAAGAATTCAGGAAATATATATACGTGCCTCTCCTGAGGAATCTTCTAGAAGCCAGTAAGAGATAACTTTAATGAAATAATTGATGTTGAGTACTGTATCTATTTGTAGAGCTATGACTAAAATAAGTGGGGGAGGGTATAGGAGAAAGAACAGTAGGTAGGTTTTATATGTTTTGATTAAGCAGGAAAAATTACAACTAGAAAAAGTAGAGGAGACAGGGAAAGAATAAGATTTTGATATGCTTTTTTTTTTCTTATTTTAAAATGTTTTAAATTTCCCTCAAACCCTCTGTGACTCATGGTTTAATTCAAAATGTGTTGCTTAATTTCCCAACAGTTAGAGGTTTTCCCAGTATCTTTTTGCTATTTTTTGTTTATTTAATTCTTTTATGATTCATGAACATACATTTTACGGTTTCTATTCTTTTAAATGTTGTAGTATTTGTTATAGTCCAGAGTATGGCATATCTTGATAAATATTTCATGTGCACTTGAAGACAGCATATATTCTGTTGGGATCAGTGGTCTGTAAATGCTAAGTCAAACTGGTTGATGCTATTCAGCTTATTCAGATTTTTACTGTTTTTTTCCTGCCTACTTTATTAAGAGATGTGTTGGAACTTCCAACTATGCACAAGGGAAATGATAAGGGAAAATAAAGAATAAGTGAAAAAATAAGATAGGTCAGGTAAACAGGAGTTATAAAGGATACTGTTCAAAATGGACACAGTAGAAAATAAAAGATTACATAAGAAAATGGAAAAGTACACGCAATATAAGACATATAAATACAATGGCATCCATGGAAAGAAAATACAGACTTTTCCAAGTACTAAAAGAATTTTTTTGAAAATCGCAAAGAAGACACATTAAGTGGAGAAATAAATAGTAAATACAACATAGAATATTCAGTAATTAGAATATAAAATATGATAGAGTAGAAGGCAAAAATCAGGACTATAGTGGAGTGAATTAGTTTAATGTGCCTATTAGAAGAAAAATGTTTTCAAACTGAATCACAAAGCAAAACCTAACTCTATACTGTATATAATAAAGACTCACAAAGAAAACAGTTATTTGAAAAGGCTCAAAGATATACCAGGCAAACAGGAAAAATTAGAAAGCAGGTGTTGAGACTGCGTTTCAGATAAAACTGAGGCAAAGAAAACAAAATTAAGACAAAGAAGATAACATTTATGACTATGTGTTAAATAAAACACAACTATTACATAAAGCAGAAACTACAGGAAATAAAGGAAACAGAAATACTATTTATTAACTCGAGACTCTGACATACAACTCCCAGTTCAAGAAAGAGCAAAATAGGAAAACAAAATTACAAGATCTTAACAACATACATAAGGTCATCCCTTTTATGAATTTATTTAGAATATTATATCCTAATATACAAATTGTATCTTCTTCTGAACTACACATGGGAATATTCATAAAATTATCATCTATTAAGTCAAAGAAAGTATAATAAGAGTAAGCTTAATCAAGTAAAATATTACAAGCAACACTCTCTGATCACAATGAAAAGATTACAGAAAATCAACAAATCAATAAAGGAAAAACCCAAAAGGCCCATCTGGAATTAACACAATAAACAAATAAAACCACCTCAATTAAACAAGACTTGGGAAAGGGGAAATATAAACAGATATATCAGAATTTCTAACAATTAATAGGAAAATGTTACATATAAAAATGTATGAAAAGCAATTAAAGTGGTTATTAGCCTTAAAACAACTGTACTGGTAAAAACAAAATAATGAAAGTAACTAAATTAAATTCCTCAACTAAAAATAACCTAAATTACCTCTGTCAGTTCCTCATTTAACAATTGAAAAGTAAGACTCAAATCATGTGATTTGTCCAAGGTCCTGTAACAAGGTGGTAGAAAGACTGACATTAACTAGTACCTTTATTAGATCATCATCTTTCTGGCTTACTGCCTCTATGATAAATTCAAAAGATCTCTACAATGTCAAAATCATTGGTGAAAAACTAACACAAAATCAACTTATATTTTATAGTATGTGATAATGTCATATGACCACTTAACCAAGACTATTAGAATCTTCCAGATATGAAAAACATAGGTTTTAAAATGAAGCATGACTTATATGAGCTGTTATTATAACCCTTTCAGCAGAAATAAAAATATACTTATGTTTTTATATAAATGTGAGGTACCGAGCAATCCAAGAAGGTAATTTTGGTAACTTCTCTGGTTTTTCAGAAATATTACAGCATAAATGATGTGAAGGTTCAAAATAAAATATATTTAAAAGATATATAGAAAATGAGGTTGATACGAATTTAATTAGGTTGGTATATTTAAAGAAATATGTTTGCCACTAAGGCTGTGAATTTGTTGTACTAATTATTAGCAATATCCAATGTCAAAATCTGTGAAGGATTTGAGATTTGCAAACTAACAAGTTAGCCAAATACAGTATCGTGGTTGTTGGTAGAAGACACAAGACTCCTGGGTCAGAGACAAAGGGCAGTTTGTTACTCATAGCAATAGCAGAAGCCAGAAAATTTTTTTTAAAGTTCATCCACTGTTTTTTTTTTTTTTTCTTTTTTTCCCCCCAGAAACCCAAAGCCCCAGATACGTGGTAGATATTAAACTTAAGATATTTTAAAAATCCATGTAATAAAAACTAAAGGAGCAGTTTAAGAAGATAATACCTCTAAAATGGGCTAGTAAGTAGAAAACATTTGATTAAGAAAGGGAAAACCATTTGTAGCTCTAGTAGTATGATATGCGAACACAAAGTATGATTGCAATAACCTCTACTTTTAGAGCCTAAGCAACGATTAATTACACATCGTGTGCTAGGCTGAATAGCTTCTGGAAGATGTCCATGTCTTAATCCCCATAGCCTATGAATGTGTTATTTTACATGGCAGAAGGGACTATGCTGAGATAATTAACAATTTTGAGATAGGGTTATTATCCTGGATTATCCAGGTAAGCCAAATGTAATCATGAGCTTCCTTACAAGAGGGTAGCAGAAAGGTCAGAGAGAAGGAAATGTGGGGGAAAAAAAAAAGTAGAAGGGGGGTGGTAATGGGGAAGATGAAAGGGGAAGAAGAGAAAGAGAGAGGGAAGAGAAGATGCTATGCTGCTTGCTTTGAAGATGGCGAAAAATGCCATGAGTTAAGGAATGCAGGTGGCCTTTAGAAGCTGAAAAAGCAGGAAAAATTCTCTCCTAGAGCCTACAGAGAGAATATAGCTCTGCTGAAGCCTACAGAAATAATACGGCCCTGTTGCTGTTAAGACTTCTAACCTTCGGCACTGTAAGACAATACATTTGTGTTGTTTTAAGCCACTAAATTTGTTGTCGTTTGTTACAGCAGCACTAGAAAATTAATCTATTTTCTATCTCCTACCAATCTTCGTATTATAAAATAATTCATTATACCATATTATTAGGACAAACACTACATGCCATAAATAATTCCAAGAATCAAATATAATTAAATATTTACCTTTAAGTAAAATATAGACGCATTTGGATGGCTTAAACTTTTTGTCTCATAACATTTATACTTCAGTATTTTGGACAAACTTGTTTCCTTAGTTTTAAATACAACCGTATGTGTCATTAAAAGGGAATACTATGTCCTAAAACATGGTCCATATAAAAATGTAAAAACTGTGTTTAGCAAATACGGATAGATAGAAAAGCTGTGTTGTAACTGGAATTGTCAGGTACTATTTTTTTTTACTTTAGGTTTTTCACTATTTTTTTCACTTTAGGTTCTAGGATACATGTGCAGAACATGCAGGACTGTTGCACAGGTACATACATGGAATGTGATTTGCTGCATCCATTCCCCCGTCACCTATCTCTGGCATTTCTCCGCACGTTATCCCTCCCCAACCTCCCTACCCCTCACTGTCCCTCCTGTCAGATACTATTTTAAGTAAACAATGAGGAACTCAGACTTTTTTTAGATAACACAAAAACTGCAATAAATGATATAAAGTTATTCCTATCTTCCTGTACTTCTTATGCAGAAGAAATCAGGTACTGACTGAGAAAAAGGCTCCTTTTGATGTACTATTACAACTGCACAGATGGCACCTTACATGTTAGTATTCCTGTTAAAAGATAAGAGAAAATTCCACACACAGCTCTTCTGAATCCTCCTAAGAGTCTGATGTGAAGAGCAAAGCTGAAGGCATCATGCTACCTGATTTACCTGATTTCAAACTATACTACAAGGCCACAGCAACTAAAACAGCATGGTACTGGTACCAAAACAGAGATATAGACCAATGGAACAGAACAGAGGCCTCAGAAGTAATGCCACACATCTACAACCATCTGATCTTTGACAAACTTGACAAAAACAAGCAATGGGGAAAGGATTCCCTGCTTAATGAATGGTGTTGGGAAAACTGGCTAGCCATGTGCAGAAAGCAGAAACTAGTCCCCTTCCTGACACCTTACACTAAAATTAACTCCAGATGGATTAAAGATCTAAACATAAGACCTAACACCATAAAAACCCTAGAAGTAAACCTAGGCAAAACTTCAGAACATAGGCATAGGCAAGGACTTCATGACTAAAACACCAAAAGCAATGGTAACAAAAGCCAAAATAGACAAATAGGATCTAATTAAACTTTACAGCTTCTGTACAGCAAAAGAAGC